GGGGTAAACCACAAAACCCCCCCCCCCCCCCCCCCCCCAAAAAAAAAAAAAAAAGCGGAGTAAGAAACGACGACATGATGACATGAGTCTCAGCTGAGCAGAACTGGGTTCGGGTGTTCATCGTCTGCTGCACGCTCTTTGAGGGGCTGTACGTATAAAATAATGAACAAGGAACATGCCTGAACACATTATGCATGCTTGCGAGTGTTTTGATTTATGGGATCTGCGAGACTAAGATGGTGTGTCTAGCCGTAATGGACAATGTGTACAGAACGCGGTTTATCATATAAACATCCTTGGTATAGATGGTGGTACCACAGCGGAATCAAGTCCGAAGCCAACTGAATCAGCTCGATTGCGAAAAGGGAGTTCATGTTCATTGTTCATGTTGTGTAATACTTGCACTCCTCATAGTGAATGCATGCACGCGCATCTATGCTTGTATAACCACTCCGTTTCATGCACTCGTCCGTCCACAAGCCGTCTCCAGCCGCTGTTCGTAATAAGCTTGGTCTATGATGCGCCGCCGCCGTTCTTCCGGAATGACACTTTCTCCACTGCGACATTTTCGTTGCCTTCGGCATCCTTGCGTAGTTGGTACACGTACAGTACGAGAACATCGCCCTGAACCTGATTTTTTGTTAGCCTGATAGCCTAGTGACTCTTGTGCTGTTTGCTGCTCTTTGTGTGACCAGCTGTGGGTAAACTGACATCCATCAATACAAAACTCGGTGTAGGTTCCTCATCCTCAGTCCACCATCCCGTACACATGGCCCCTGTCGCACTTCCTGGATTGACGAAGAACTTGCCCTCCATTTCATACGCCTCGAACTTGTGTGTGCCGCCCCATAGCAAGACATCGACATCCATCTGCCGCGCCGCTATCAGCAGACTGTCGCCATCGCCGGGTGGTATGATGGTGTGGCCATGTGTGAAGCCTATGCGTAGACTGCCGTGCGTGACTACTTTTGACAAGGCGAGATTAGGTGCTTCGACGTCGAAGTCACCCTTCACGATTTGTAGGTCGGGCGCGATGGCGCGCAGGAATTCGTAGGTTTCGCGGTCGGTAATGTTGCCCAGACAAAGGATTTGGCCGATCTTTCCAGGCGCGAGCAGTTTCTTGAACTATAGGGCCGTGTAAGCGCATGCGCGAAGTCTACTAGACAAAAGGTGCGGTTGTAGCAGGTCTTGACGGTGGTTGCGCGTGACAGAGACAGAGCAAAGCGTACCTTTGCCGGTATATCCTATGTAGCCTGTAAGTTTGTGAGGTCTAGCGTCGTGCAGGTTAGGTGTCGAAACATACTGAAGCTCGGTCTGGTATGAAGAGGTCGCCCAGGACCAGCACCAGTCGCGAAGCCATTGCAGCGGCGCGGTTGTATCTTTGTGCGCGCAACACGTGCTACAGGATAGCTCAGTTGTATGCGGAGCAGGACAGAGCGACTCCCAAGGTACGACGGGGATACAGCGGAGACTTACGGGGGTGTTGCGCAAGCTAGAGGTGGGTGTTGGGGAAGCTACCTATGCTGTCACTGGGCGGGCTCCAGTGGCAGAACCACAGCCTTGGCAGGAACGCCCAACAGCGCCACCATGTAGAAATATCACTTTGCTGTCATAGTACATGAGGATATGTACAATATCACCAATATACATGTATAATTTCAAGCAGCAACAGACCTCCAATCGTCTCCACCCTCTTCCACATCGCCGTACCAGCCGAAAAGATGCGCGGCATACTCTCCAGCCAGGCCCAGGCTGATGGCACCGCCAGTGAACCATGCACCATTCACGAACCACCACCAACAGTTCTTGACCTCCTTCAGCTTCACTCGTCGAATCATGGTGCCCAATGTGGCTGCGGCTCCCCCAACAGTTCCGACAAAGAAGACAGGCCCTAACCCTGCCGCGACTCCTGTAGCGGATAGTAAGCCAAGCTGGACAACAGCGAGACCCGACAAGACCACTTTTGTTTCCTTTTCGTGCTTGAGCGCGATGCTCTTGATGCCAGCTTTGGCATCATCCTTTATGTCCATGTGTGCGTAAATCATATCGTACAGAATGGTCCATGCGACGTTACTAGCGTAGAGGCAAGCTGCCGCTGTAAGTGCTGCTTGGTTCGCCAGTAGGTCGACTCCAAGAGCTGGGAAACCCATCATCGCACCCCAGGAGAAGGTGAGTCCGAGAACGAATTGAGGATAGTAGGTTACTCTTTTCGCTAGAGGATAAAGAGTGACCAATACAAGGGACGGTGTCGCGTACCAGAAGCACTCGAAGGGTAGCGACAGGAGGACAGCCAGACCCGTAGTAAGCTGTCCCCCAAGGAAGACAATAGCCTGCTGAGGTGTAATTGCTCGTCTAGCAAGTGGACGTAACCGCGTTCGTTCGACATGTGGATCAAGGTTTCGGTCCCAAAGGTCATTGATAGTACAGCCAGCACCTCTCATAACAAGAGCTCCTGTGAAGAAAAGGGCGGTTGTACTGATGACGGCGGATGGTGCAGCAAGGGGGGTCGCCATAGTTGCAGCGAGGAGTGTGCTGAACATGCAAGGAAAGAAGAGGTAATATGTGCCGACCGGGTTGTGCAACCTCATCAGCTCACCATATGGAACGGCTTTTTGAGGCAGGTAAGATAGGAAGCCAGTAGTGGGTGGCTTGTACTCGGGAAGTGACCTCGACGGTCCATTGTGTTGTGCTACCACCGTCGCCAGTCTTGATTGCAAAGATGCCCGATGTTGTGTAAACGGCTTGACGAGCTGAACAGATTGTGGACGGGAGCCTGCAAGTGATAGATATGTCGACAACTGCCTTTGTCTGTGAGTAGAGTGAAAAGTGGAATGCTTTCTAGCGAACTGCCGACACATAGCCAAGGGCCGCGCTGCATGACGTGGTAACGCCATGTTTGGTGTTTTGCCGGTTAAAAGCGTATGTGGGTTCGTATACAAAGATACGCAAGTCAGTCACTTGTTCCTCGTTTGCTGTAGTATCGTTTGGGATCCCGATTTTTAAGGTGCTACCTTCAGCATGAAGACATGCATGTAAGTGAGAACTTGGGCGCCCAACTAGGAAAGTCAGCCTGGTCACAGCCGGGCGTTCATTTCGATCATCCAGATTGGTGAGAGTGAGTGGGGAAAGTGAAAGTTGCAGCGTTCGCGCTAACTCCCGACAGCACGTGACAGCTTCCGCGCCGCTCAGAACATGGTTCCTCGGTCGCGTCCACATCCCGATAGCTCTCACCATGCCGTCGCCGGATCGATTGCGGCTCACCTTTTGCGGCGACACTCGCTCCCTGGACGATCGCGACCGCACGTGCGAGCTTACTTTCTGCAATACCAGCTGTTTGCAACCACGACGCCGCCGCGGAGGTGTTTCCTGCTCTCGCGACCCCACACCTCATACGCGACTGCGGATGGTAACTGGTGGCGCGCACGATGCCGGCTGCGCGCCCCAGGGCATCCTTCGAGCCGATACCACCAGACTTCGATGTGCGCACCTTTGTGGAGAATGCGGACAATTTCCAATATGTCGACCGCATTTCGTATGAAATGATCGCCAACAACGGCATCGAAGCCTTCGAGAAGCTCGTTTTGCTACACGTCGTCATAGGCGGTAAACCTCTGGTAATCGACGGCTTCGAGGAGGTGCTGGATCCTTGGACTTTTACGCCTTCGTGGCTGCGTGACAACCATGGCGACAAGGGTAAGTGCGCCCCTGCGCAACAATCGACACGCACACCTAACAGATGGATAGTCGAGAATGCGCGAAATCTATCGACCAAGGAGAATATCCCTCTTACCATGAAGCACTACCTCAAGCATATGACGAAGCTCACCGAGCAATTCTTCGACGGCCCAGACGTATACCGCGACAGAGCGAGGCAGCGAATCTATCTTAAAGATATCGACTGCCCTCAAGTATGGCATGATAAGCTGAAAGAGCACATCCCTTCGGGGCTTTTCTACCTCAACGAGAGCACAGGTGAACCTGGTGGTCCCGGTGCCATGGACGAGTTGGGCGGTCGCAAAGGGCGAGGCATTGGGCGGGCTGGAGACCTCATGAGCAGCCTACCACCGGACATGCGCGCCGAGAACCTCATGTGCTACATCGGCCACGAAGGCACCTACACCCCGTCTCACCGAGAGATGTGCGCTTCTCTGGGTCAGAATATCATGGTGAACGCTTCAGGCACTATCAGTGAAGACGGCAAGCAGGAGCGTCCCGGGTCATCTATATGGTTCATGACTGAAAGCAAAGACCGCCATGTGGTTTCCGAGTATTGGCTTTCGGTGCTGGGCCATGACATAGAAGTGGAGAACCACTTCGCACAGCTCATCGCCTGGAAGAAGGCTCCGTTCCAGACTTATGTCGTGGAGCAACGGCCGGGCGACTTCATTCTCATCCCACCACTGGCGCCTCATCAAGTATGGAATCGGGGTACCCGTACTATGAAGATCGCCTGGAATCGCACAACCGTCGAGACCCTAGAACTCGCGCTGAACGAAGCATTGCCCAACTCCCGAGTCGTTTGTAGAGACGAGCAATACAAGAACAAGGCCATTATCTACTACACCCTCTTAAAGTACTCCAGTCTCATCAAGTCTGCCCGCGCACAAGTCGAAGCAGGAGGTGAACAAGCAGTTGCGATCCAATGCTCTGTCAGAATAAAGCAAGTCCAGAAAGACTTCAAGAAGCTCTTCGACCTCTACAAGATTGTACTGCTGTCCGAGATGTTCGTACAAGATTCACGAGAACACCCTGAATTTCTCCCTTACGACAGCAACGTAACTTGCGCGTATTGTAGATGCAACATCTTCAATCGCTTCCTTAGCTGCAAATCGTGCAAGAACCTGTTTAGTTCCGAGATCGAGGAGCCATACGACGTTTGCATGGACTGTTACTGTATGGGTCGAAGCTGTGGATGTCAATCGGGGTACACATGGGTTGAGCAATGGAAGTGGAAGGACCTCGTTCATAAATATGAGGAGTGGCGCGCTCAGATTATTGACATCGATGGCTATGTCCATGAGAAAACTCCGCTTCCGTTACAAGAAGAGCGAAGATATCTCGGCAAGAAGACCTTGGCCCAGGTCTGTCAAGAAGAATTACGAGTTCGGCCGTTTGTGGATATCAAGAACCCGCAGCCTGAGGCCGTATCTGACGACGAGGAACCTGTTGTTGACAAATACGGCAACGTCAAGAAGAGTGCGAACAAGAAATCGAAGCAGTGGCTCTCAAAGCACAAATCCTGCCATTTCTGTCTCCACCGACATCCGAAATGGAAGATGGCATTCTGCTCAAGCTGTGATCTGGCCTATTGCTACGGCACGCTATTCCGAGCGCACGATACAATGCCGGTAAATATCATGGAAGCTTTCAATTGGAAGTGCCCTCATTGTATGAGAGTTTGCAATACAGGTGCTTGCCGACGTGATCCCCGACAACATCCATACGAGCCTAAAGGAACTTTGCTAGGTCACGATACCAAAAAAGTGGCAGATCCACGCTCAGTAGAGTGTCTCGTCGACTTTAGTGTCTCTAACCTGAACTGGCTAAGAGAAGAAGAAGGCATGGTACAGAATGCAATGCAACGACGAATGCAGCAGGCGGAGATAGACAAGATGGCGGATCCTTCCCTCGATGCGAGATTTGTCGAAGACGATGACCAGAACTACACCCGATACGGCATCACGTATTCTCCTATGGAGGATGCTAATGGTGTTCCTGATGAAAACGGTGATGGGGGTGTGAGCGGTGCTCCATACTATCACGATCCCGGCATGGCTGGAGAAATTCCTCGTTTGGGTCAGAAGCGTGGTCGCGAAGAACATGAAGAAGCAGAGAGTAGCCACCGGAAAAAGACCAAGGCAAACAAGCAAAAGAAGAAGAAGAAGGACGATGATGCTTCGCCCTTACAACCAAAGAACGCATCTGGCAAGCAATATCAGAAAGAGGTCCAGAGGAAACTGCTCGAAGACGCTAAACGCGAAGACAGATTCATCTTGGTTGCCGCAAAGATGAAAGGCAAATCAAAAGTGGTGAAGCTGTCTTTGGCTACTGGCCATCTTGACCGGATTCGTCAAAGACTAGTTCCCACGCGCGCACCAACCGTACAAGGTACTCCAGAGGAAGCCGATGCGTCTGGTGACATGCAGTCTATCTTACAATCCGATGTTGTACCGAAGCCTAACGCCCTGAAGAGTGGGGCCGAGAAGGATAAGGACGCGAAGACATATCGTGTTCGTGTAGAAGAGGACGAGGCGTACTCCACACGCAAGCGCAATCCAGAAATTAATGGCTCCGCGAAACCTGGAAGGCCTCGTGGCTCTAAACGTTTCGAAGAGATCACACTCGATTCAGACGAAGAGTTTGGCGGTGATAACGATGAGCCTGAATACACTGGTCGCCCACGTGGTCGCACGTCAAACTGGTTGGCCCGGAGGAATGAATACGAGGACGCCCTGCCCACTGAACTGCCATCCGACTTCAGAGACGGAGCTATAAGGCCCAACCGGGAGAAAGACCGAGAGCGAAGCCGCTTGTACAACGAGCGTCGAAGATCTTCGCCAATAAAATCGAAAGCTGGGATCAGGCCTACGGAGTCATCATCAAAGGACCCAGAGTCAAACAGCACTGGCGATGTGTCTGACCATATTTCTAAGCAAGACGACATTTATGAGGAGGATAACTGTTCCAGCGAAGCGTTCATCCCTTCACAACAAGCCGCTGCCGCTGCCCTGGAAGCTCAGCGTCAAGAGGAGAGGGCAAAGGCTCGTGCTGAAGCTGAAGCTAGGGAAGCCGAAGAGAACTTGCGAGCGAAGATGGCGCTGTTTCCTGAATCAGACGATGACCAGCTGATGGATAACTTCCTCGCTGATCTGTCTGCTGACGATGAGCCGTTGCAAGGAGAGTCGGGACCTGTGGACAAGACACCAGAGCCTGTTCGTACAGGGCCACCCCCATCGACCAATTCCATCTTGAGCAGACTCAACGGAAAGAAAATCAAAATTGTCGGACCAGCCTCTCGAAAGAACGGCAACAGAACAAGCAAGGTCACAACGACAACCCCTTCTGCGCCAGCACCGAAGTCTTCTGGTGTCAATAGGAAGCCTCAGGCTATAGATGTATCAGATACTGAGAGCGAGGATGAGGTTCCGGCAAGCGCACCAGCCCCCAAGAAGCCTCTCGGTAGACCATCAGGCCGCCCTTCGATGATCCCTACACGAGGCTCTAGTTCTGGAAAGCGTGGTCGTGGACGTCCAAGAAAAACAATGTAAATGCAAATTAGCAAGGCGTTTGGTCCTCGTATCTTACGGTGCTATTCATGTTTGCCCATATACCAGTTTTTTTTAGTAGTATTTTTAGCAAGGCGTTGTTGGTGACTCTATGCATTTTCTTGGGGTTGCCGGCTAGGATGGAGATTTCGATGATTCGTTTTTCATGTTTAGAGACGGGACATCAGATTCTAGATCTGAAGTTGAGAATTGTACAGTAGCTGCGGTACGCCATACGGCCTGAAAGCATTTCTCAAGGCATATGAACAATAAGACAAGCATTTCAAAACATCCAAACGTATTGCGCTATGAGTGAACTTGTGATCCGGTTCATCATTATTTCACGTGATCCAGTCTCAGCGTCCCAATCGCGTCGTACTAACTCTGTCCTAGTTCCGCCTCCATCTACAACCAGTTTCAACACATCACCAGCAATGATGCCACTTCACATCAAGAGCATCACTCTTGATGCCTTTAGAGATGTTTTGTCGCGATACCCTGCAATGGTGCCCGAGAAGCTACGCGACCTAGACGCGCAACGCTACGACATCATTCCTGCAGCGGTAGCTGCAATGGAAGAAAGCGAGAAACACTTGACCAAGGACCAAGTTGAAAAAATCGTGGAATGGAAGCTGTACGCATACCAAATTCGTGTGAGAGTGATTACACTAATGATAAGGCAGGAAACACGGAACGTTTCGTCCCGCCTTGTTAGGCCTGGTTCAAAGCAACGAGCCCGAGGCGATTGAGGAGACGACCAAACGGGCCTATGCAGCATTATCGAAGGGCAGATCAGCTCATCCTGACGCCATTCCCGCGCTGAAGATTCTTGTGAAGCTGAGAGGTGTAGGACCAGCAACTGCATCCCTGCTTCTCTCGGTACTTCAACCTGTGGAGATACCATTCTTTTCAGATGAGCTCTTCAGATGGTGCATGTGGGACGAGCAAGTGGTAAACGGAAAGGAAGGGAAGGGTTGGCAAAGGAAGATCAAGTACAATCTCAAAGAATACGAGATGCTGCTCGAGCGCGTGGATGTGCTGAGACTAACACTGCGTAAAGGGCTTGGAAGAAAAGATACTATGGCGGGGGCAACGGATATCGAGAGAGTAGCTTGGGTCTTAGGAAAAGAAGGTGTAGATGTCACACTGCAGGAAGAGGAAAGCAGGGATGCTACAATAGAAGCGGGTGAGAAGGAGAAGGAGCAGGAGCAAGATGACAAGAAGGAAGGAGAGCATGACGATGAGGAAAAAGCAGAGAAATCTGCGGCAAACAAGGGCACCAAGCGCAAGGCGTCTGACGCAAAACAGCCTACTGAAGGTACTCGCAAAAGTACACGGACGAGAAAGTAGTATAACGTCGGTGTACAGCACTCGCTTTCCAATGGAGCAGGTCTGCAGGCCAATGTTCCAAACCTCATCACTGCAGTATATCTTGGAATCGAATAAGAATCGCGCGCACTGCGGACCATTGTTTCCATCTCAACGTTCTGCTGTTAGTGTACGTATGCCAAATTTCCCTTACTATCGTCACCTGTTCTCAACAATTTTTCGCTAACGCATCATACCGATGCCGCTTACTATCGGTCTTCATCCTTCTCTAACCGTCACTAGGATATTTCTACACACGCCCGACTCTGCAACTCGATTCCGGTCACTGCATCTCACACCGTTCACTTAGCTCTCATTCAGCCTTGTAACTTCACTATTCACTTTCAAAGCACGTCCCTGTCTACTGCAACCGTGATGCGCTGTTCTGATCGGTGTGATACCCGTATGTCATGCATGAGAAAGATCGGCGCCGTAACATCGAACACAATGAGAAGGGAGAAGACAAGCGACTTGGAATTTGCATCAACGGGAGTTCCGCCTAGCGAATCAAGAAACAGATGTCATCGTTTGATGTGACGTAAGAAGGAGCTCCTAACACGGCCTAGCAATTAGGAGGATCTCGTATGCTGGACATGACAATGGAGGGGTGTAGAATTGTGTTAGGTTTACGTGAGACGTTATGTTTGTTGACATGTGACGTGAGATAGCAAAGTATGTCATGCATTAAGAGGGTTTCTGCCACGCGAGGAATTGCGGGGAAGAAGAGTCTTCGGCAGAAGGGGCAAGGATTTGCAGTAAAGTTGAGAGATTGTGATGTGATGTGATGAGATTAGACGGTGACGTGAGTCTACCTTAATGCCTTAGTAGAGTCGGAGTTCGGAGCGTACCGAACATACGTTACTGGGTTGAGTCGGCAAAGCAATCACGCTATGGAATTCGGAGGTTGCTGACTTGAATGCCATGCAGTGAATGCAGAACTATAGTTGATGACACTTGGGCACGATATGCTGAAGATCGTGGGCTCTTTTTCCTAATGAAGGAAGACCTTTCGTGGCGCTGGACTGCAGCGGCTACAGAAAATCCTAATTCACGCTTACATTTAGGACTGCGTGTATGTCATTTATGTGCGAGACGTCCATCAAACAAGCACCCTAGGAGTAAAGCTCATAGTGGTTCAGTTATGGTAATATGAAGTTGTAACACCTATCATACCGATGGAACCCTATTCCTCATATCCAAACCGACCTGTATCCATCGTCAGCCTCAGATAGGACAGCCCCCGCCCGTGATTTGTGATCCACGTCTTCTCACTTACCTAGGTAGTTCCATTGTTTTCGCATATTTACCTGCTGCTCACCTCACCTAGCATTTCTTAAATTGACCGCTCTGCACTTATCTCGAGATACAGAAATCTATGTACGTCAACGTGTCTCTCATCCACACCTTTCCCGACAAAGGGTCAATCTCGGATCCGGCAACCGAAGCGAGTAGGAAACAAGGGAGACAACTCCGAACCCAACCCCTTGGTATGGGTGGAGGATGCGATTGTGTGTGTATGTGACGGATTGCACTTCGACCTGTGCCTACCAATACACTAGGAAGTGGTCCTGCTGGTCGCTCTATGGTGTATGCACAGCATATCAAAGACGATATCGAACACCAACCTCTAGAATACTCATTTCTGAAGCCTATCCACCAGACACTCTAAGTCCCGTGAATACATTATTGCGCGCCATCCATGAGCGATACTGCACTGCACTGCACTGCACCTCACCTCGCTTACCACGGACTCCAAGTTCCATGCAATCAACAAGACTAGCTAGTGCGACCCTGCACGTCAATATAGTCTTAATCCCAATCGAGCCCCCTTCCGTCCCCAGCATCCTCCGCGTTAGCCACGAAAGAAAGCCCGTTGCTGCCCCAGTCACATCGCATTTGCTCGTTTCCCTCTCAGCTTACTTTCCCATGCTGCCAGTCGCGGAAAATCGCATATCGCTAACAACATCTGCATGTGAATCTTTTGCTAGCTTTGTCATGATCGGTGAGAAGTCTGCAGGTCGCTTCTTCCAGAAAACTCCGCATGCTGGAGTAACACCGATAGCTGCATACTGTACAATTGCGAAAAGAAAAGCTTGGAGTAATTATGCGGGTAAGAAGGACCCCGATCCATACACGTGCATGCATGCAGGTTCGTGATCGGCGATCTGTTTTCTTAACGATATCTCAAGTTCGGTAAAGTTTTGGTGTGGGAATTTGATGACCATTCCGGCGTCTGAGCACAATAATAGACTACCGGTAAGGCGGCTGTCGTAAGCCATGTTTCTGTATTACCAACTCTGTACCAATCTGGTGGGATTTTTGTTGGGAGATGAAGCACATGCAGACATTCAAAGAGGGAGCGATGTCGGAAATTGACCTTTTACTATGACCCTTACTGGGGTTGCCGGAACCACAGACGTGCTTTGTCAATATGGTGGAGATGCGATGCATGGCAACCGAGGTGTGGAGAAAGCGGACATCACTAAACAAGGCGAAGATCATCCTCACATTAGTCAAGTTCAACAAGACCAGGCATTATGCCTGTTGATGCATTATACTACACGGCCTGATGAAACAGCCAAACATGCTATCAAAGACAATTCGAGAAGAAGCGAAGAGTAGTAGGTAGTAGCCTATAGCACAGCAATCCAAACCACTCCATCTATCATGCGAGAGAATGCTGCCAGTTCCTATTGCAGATGCGCCGCCACTTCCAAGAAGGCCAAAGCCCCTTGTTGCGCGCGTCGCCTCAGAAGGTTATGTTCATCAACGATCATCAACAAGTCGTCCTTCATCCTCAACCAGGGAAAAAAAAAGGCCCAAGCCACACTAAGATACGCGACAATAGATACAGAATGGTAACAGTAGATGGAGAGAAGAGAAAGTAATAAACGCCGTCTTTTGATAACGTTCGCCGATGCATGCAACCGAGATCCAAGCTGTGTGAGAACGCCCTGCGCCTGCCCTTCGCAGCAGTGGTAAAGTCATGTTGTTGCTTTGTAATTCGTATATGTACACACGCGTGAAACGGGAATCCAGTATATGTGTATTCGTACAGTGGTAGATCTTGGGTATCGTGTAATTGATGACGGAGATGACAGTAAAGTTGTCAGTGTACGGTATGTAGGTGTTGTTATTGTGATTCGGCTGTCCGGTCGTCGTGCGCTGGCTCTAGCTCGGGTGGAGGAACCTTCTTGACTGTCCCGTTGCTCCCACTCCGAGTCGATCGACGGCGGCTGTTAATTCCTGCGTGAAAGTTGGCGCGAGCTAGTTCTCCATTGGATACTGAATTGCTCCGATGTGACGAAGGCGCGGCTGGCGTCTTCTTCTTAGCAAAGCTCATGACCAACTCGTCTTCACTGTCCTCGTCTTCTTCTTCGCTCTCGATAGCGTGATCGCCGTCGTAGCCATCAGCGTCGTCGATAGAGGCTTCGAATCGACTGCCAGAAACAGGGGAGATCCAGGAATGTTCATCAAACGATCCGCATGCACCTTGATTAGGGGAACCAGCCGACGCAACCGATGGAATTGATGGGTTCGACTCAGACTGAGACATGGCGGAGAATTGGTCTTCGGAGGAAGAAAGAGCCAAGCCGCGGCTTGATCCACCGAGAGGACTATTCTCGGAGGACTGA